AGAGATCAGAAGCCTGCAAGATTTTAGTCCTAGCCACAATTTGAACTACTTTAAATTTTCCTCATAAACAAGATTTGTGACAGTGCTGCTTTCCCAAGTCACCTGGTCTTTCCCCTTTGGAAGTCCAGACCAGATAGAACCTATTGATGCCACAGTTACTACTTGCTTTAAGTGGCTTCTGTTTGCCTCTTGCATAGGTCAGGGGTAGACTGTAGAATTAAGCAGCCTCAGCCCAACATTCACATCAAGGCGATGGCTTATTTGTACTGTTGCCCCTGTTTGAAGACTTAATTGGCCCTTACTGTTGTACTGATGAGTTGCACTGGAAAAGAGCAATCTCCTTGTAGATAGGAGTGACTTGTGTACAGTTGATAAGGTAGGTTTTTTGAGGCCTCTGAAGAACTTGACTTTGTGATGGGCTCCATGTCCCTGCCCTGCTACAACCTGTTCTGCCCACTACTGGATTAAAGACCTCTCCTTTGTTTGTTTATATTTTTATTTTTTTATCCTCACCCGAGGACATTTTTGCATTCATCTTCAGATAGAGCGGGAGGGAGAGAGAGAGAAAAACATCATCAGTGTGAGAGAGACACATTGACAGCTGCCACCCACACAATCCCAACCAGAGCCAGGGAGAAACTGCAACTGAGCTATGTGCCCTTAGTGGAAACCAAACCCGGATCAGTGGTCCGCGGGCCGACGCTCTAACTGCTGAGCCAAACCAGGCAGGGCTATACTAATTTCTTTTAGTAGATTTTACTCTGAATTTATTTTAGACTTACAGTAGTTTCATTCAGAGATGATACAGAGTTCCCATATACCCGTTTCCCCCATTAGCATCTTACATAACCATTGCACACTTGTTCGAGTGAAGACATCAACATTGAAACATTACTGTTAACTTCAGATTTTATTTAGATTTTATCAGTTTTTCCACTCATCCCTCTTTTTGTTCAAGAATTCAGTCTAGCCCTGCCGGTGTGGGTCAGTGTTTGAGCGTTGACCTGTGTACCAAGAGGTCGCTGGTTTGATTCCTGGTCGGAGCACATGCCCAGGTTGTGGGCCAAATCCCCAGTGCGGGGCATGCGGAAGTTGGCCAGTCGATGTTTCTCTCATCGATGTTTCTATGTCTTTCTCCTTCTCCCTTCCTCTCTCTCTAAAAGGAAAAAAAAAAAAGAACCCAGTCTAGGTGCCACATTACACTTAGTAGTTGTGTCTCCATCTTCTCTGTTTTGTGACAGTTTCTCAGTCTTTCCATGTATTTCATGACCTCTGATAGTTTTGAGAAATACCATGATGTGTCCTTTATAATTCCCCCAATCTAAATTTGTCTGGTATTTTCCTCATGATTACACTGATGTTACGGGTTTGGGGGAAAATACTGTAGAGGGGAAGTGCCCTATGGGATATTTGAAATTTTTACAACTTCATTGGAGATGTTAACCATGACCACTTGGTCAAGTAGTTTGTCAATTTCTCCACCATAAGTTTCCTACTCTATTGTTTAAAAGCAAATCACTAAGTCTAGCTCACCTTGTAGGTGAGTTGGGGGATGTATAGAATTAAGCCCCACCTCTTGGAAGGGGAAGTATCTGTATATGTTATTTGAAATTCTGTATATATTATTTGAAATATCTGGCTAGTAGTTCTCATCTCATTAATCAAGGCACGAATTGGGAATGGCCAGCCTCTCTGAAACGAGCTTATTTGGTTCGTCTTTATCATCCTTTATATTTATTTGATTAAACACACACACACAGTGTATGGGATGAACATATTCAGAAATGTGAGGTCTAGAGGTAGTGCCTAGAGGACTCACTGTATAGTGTAGAAGGTGTATTTTGCTGTTCATTAATGACCCTTCATGGTAATAACTTTGGAGGATCGGAACTGGAGTGTTTAGTGTTGGTATGTATAAGTCAGTGGCTTCTTAAATGACATTCCTTTTACAGCTACTGTGTGTAGAGTGTGAGAACAGTATAGCAAAGTAGCCAAGGTGAATAGAGTGCAGTGCCTTAAGTATGATAAGGCCTAGTGAGTTCTAGAAAAGAAGCTTTGGTTCTCAAAGCCAGAGGGGCTGGGGGGAAGAATGTCATTAGGGTCATATATTGATAGCAGCCTTCAGAAGACTGTCCTTTCTCATAAGCACTTAGTTTCCTGAGCTAAGAGAACGAAGCATGTAGCTAAGTATGTTAAACGTATCATGTACTTACAAAAAGATTTGGAAAACAGATGGATGGAGGACAAGAAGTAGGAATTAATGTGCTATGTAACGGCATATTCATTTGGGAAAAACAAAAGTAGAGTGAAGGAATGTTGTTTTTATTAGAAAGCTAGATTAGAAGAGCATGGAATAAATCTCTCTCAGGCAGCCTGCCATTGAGTTGTTCTTTAAGGCCCACATCATACTGGTTCTTGAGATTGACTTAGAGCCCTGAATGAAAGTCCTCTGACCCACCATACCTGTTCCAGGTTTCTAAGTGGAGTGGTACACTGCATATCCTGCCTTACAGTGTTAAATCAACAGGTAGATCTTTTATGGTACTAGTTTCCATGAGGCTTCACATTTGCTTTCATGACGAGTGTGTCTGGAATGGATGCCCATTCCTGTAAGTGGTTCTCAACCTTCCTGATGCCACGGCCCTTTCATACAGTTCCTCATGTTGTGGTGACCCCCAACCATAAAATTATTTTTGTTGCTACTTCATAACTGTAATTTTGCTACTGTTATGAATCGCCATAGAAAATATGTGTTTTCTGATGGTCTTAGGCGACCCCTGTGAAAGGGTCGGTTGACCCCCAAAGGGGTCGCGCGTGATTCACAGGTTGAGAACTGCTGCTTTAAGTTGAGCTAGTGCTTGCCCTGGCCAGTTTTGCTCAGTGGTTAGAGCATTGACCTGCGGTCCAGAGAGACCCAGGTTTGGTTCCCGCTGAGGGCATGTACCTCAGTTGCCGTTTGTCCCCAGCCCTGGTTGGTCGTGCAGGTGTCAACCACTCAATGTGTCCCTTTCACGTCAATGTTTCTCTCTCTCTCTCTTCCTCCCACTCTACCTGAACAAAAAATGGAAAAATGTCCTTGGGTGGGGATAAAAAAAGAAGAAGAAGAAGAAGTTGTGCTAGTGCTGCTAGTGGCTTTAGCTTCCTATTCTTGAGGTGAAACGAGTTGCTATTTCTAGAAGTGAACAGCAGGTGTCACTGCATCTCCACTAACTAGGGTTCTGGCTCATAGTTGTTTGGATGCAACCCATCCAGTTCTTACTTAATACAGCTCTCAAACCACTAACTTCAGCTTGAGTATTTATGGCTCTCTGACACCCAAAAATCCCCTTTCTCAGATACAGAACCCAAATTGAAAGTTAAGAATAGCCTTGGTCGATTTGGCTCAGCAGTTGGAGCATTGGCCTGTGGACTGAAGGGTTGAGGGTTTGATTCCGGTTAAGGGCACATACCTGGGTTGCAAGTTCAATCCCTAGCTTGGTTGGGGTTGTGCAGGAGGCATCCAGTCAATGTGTCTCTCTCACATCGATGTTTCTCTCTCTCTCCCTCTCTCTCTCCCTTCTTTCCTTCCATTCTCCCTGAAAGTCAATGGAAGAATGTCCTCGGGTGAGAGTTTTGCTCAGCGGTTGGAACGTCAGCCTGTGGTCCGGAGAGACCTGGGTTCGGTTCCCGCTAAGGGCATGTACCTCGGTTGCAGTTTGTCCCGGCCCTGGTTGGGTTATGCAGGTGGCAGCCACTTGATGTGTCCCTTTCACATTGATGTTTCTGTCTCTCCCTCCCACTCTATCTGAACACAAAATGGAAAAATGTCCTCAGGTGAGGACTAAAAAAAAAAATGAAATTGAAAAAAAGAAAGAAAGAAAAAAGAAATTGAGAATAAACACAGCCTAAGAGCATTTTCTTCAATTCCTTCACTATCCTCTTTACTTATATATTGTCTGTATTTTCATGTAGCTAACTGATGAGGTTTATTTGCCTTTTTTTTTAAATCAGCCTTACAGCAATTATTTAGGAACCTGGACAATTTTTTATATTTGTCTTCAACAGGGTTCACACTTAAATGCTTTTTGAACTTTCTGTAGCTTGTGTTTTGAAGAACTTCCATCAAGAAAGTAGATGCCACTATTCTCTGAATTTAGATGCTGAACATAGAAGAAACTACCACTTTCTTTATTCTTCTTTTGAATCCTTAGCTTTGGTAGTTGACAAAATAATTAGGATGAACGTTCTGTGGTGTATCTTTTAAAAACAAAATATCTTCTGGTTTCAGTGTAAGTAGTAGGGCATCCCTATCTGACAGGAAAAGTTGGTGTTAAATGGGATTATTTTAGAAAGTCTGAGATGTCCTAAATTTTTTGTATCTTTTGCTCACATTGATTATGGAATAGCTGGGGGACATCTGTACTAATATGTCAGGGTTAGTGCTGGTTTACACCCGTGTCTTGGTGCAATTATTAATACCTCTTTCTTTCACTCTTAGTTGACCTAGTTTGAACAGTATGGTCAGTCTAAATTGCCCAGGTGGTGGGAGCAATTGTAATTTCCAATTTTATAATTATAAGAATTATTTTACTCAAGAATTATACCTGCTCTGAGTTTTCTGAGTTAAACACATGTAAAACAAAGCAAAAACCACCAAGAGTTTGCAGTTCTGGGAAAATAGCTCTTAGGTTTCTATTGATCATTGTTCTCTGGAGTAATGATTTCAGAGATGGCTGTGTATCAGAATCAACGAGTAACCTTTTTACAAATAGTTTCTATGTTCTCACCACAAACCTCTACTAAATTTGTGCCAGAGTTTGAACTTGACATTACCAAAAATGTAGAACTTTATGCAATGCAAATGTACTGGACTACTTTGTCAGCAAGCTTCTAAACTAGCATATAGAAGAACAGTTACGTCTGTTGTGGGTGGTGGTTGAGGTTCTCATAGGTAGCTGCTTTGGGCCTTGAGGATATATCTGGCCCAACTCATTGACATGAGTTGCCTTTTTTTATTTCAGATGTCATCTGGGTGATTCTCAGTGTGGAGGTGGGTGGACTTTTAGGAGTAACGCAGCAGCTGTCATCTTTCGAAACGGAGTTCAACACACAGCCACATCGCAAGGTAGAAGGAAACTTCAACCCGTTTGCCTCTCCCCAAAAGAACCGACAATCAGATGAAAACAACTTAAAAGACCCTGGGGGTTCCGAGTTCGACTCGATCAGCAAAAACACATGGGCTCCTGCTCCTGACCAAACCGAGCAAGATGAGAATAGACTCTCACAGAACTCTGTAAATCTGTCCCCCAGCAGTCACGCAAACAACTTATCAGTAGTGACTTACAGTAAGGTAGGTGCCCTTGGAGAAGAGGAGAAGGGGTAGGTGGTGGGCCTTGGGATCTGTGATACCCCTTCATGGCAAACCTAGAATTCTAGAATGTTCTTTAAGACTGCTTAGCTCTCCTGCCAACAGCAACAACACAAAACCTACCCCTTCTCCCCTCCCCCCACCCCCCCATCTTCATGTCCTGTGGATATTACTTCATCCACATTTATAATTTACTACTGTCTCTCTGCTCTGGTTTGGGTGTTGAAAAAACAAAATTCTTTACCTTTACATTTAAAAAAAAGAAAGTCAAAATATCGCCAGCCATGCTTTCATTTTAAATGAATACTGAGCTTAGAACAACAACAACACACCTTTGGAATTGGCTCCTACTTTGATTTTTTTGGGTTTGGGTGTTTTTTTTGTTTTTGTTTGTTTTTTTCCCTGAGGAAAAAGGCAAGCTCAATTATTTATCCTAACTATTGTTGGGATTTCACTTAATTTGCCTTGTTTGCATGTCTTCCTGTTGATGTCTTTTCAGTCTATGTGGTCCATCTACTTCCTCATCCACAACCCAGAGTGGCCCAAGTGATATTTTGACTTTTCATGTGTGAGGAATAAGTGAGAGAATTGCTTAACCATGATTCTAAATTTATAATTGTTCTGAGACATTCTTCTAGGTGTTTGATTTCTTGATCTATTTCTCTTTATGCTAGTTGATTGACAGTACCTTTACATACTGCTAACGTGATGATGGTTCCTGGTTGTTGGTTTTGGTTGGTTGAATAAAGTCCTGTACTAAGAGCTGACTGTTGTAGGTGGTTCATGTGGTGGGAGCCTGTGAGCATTCCCATGCATTCTTCTCTGATTAATAATGCTGCATGTTAGGCCCTGCACCCACCTATATAATAACCATATAACTGTTAGGTCTGTCTTTGCTTCATATTGGCATTCACCCTCAAAATTAAAAAAAATAAAATTGATGTGTATTTGAGGGACAAGTTGCTTTGTTGTAAGAAGGGTATTTTTCTAACCAATGCTTTATATATGGTCTAGATCAAGAGGTAATTTAAGAAAAGAAACCAGGTGATATGAATTCTCTTCCGTCACATGGTCTAGTAAGAGGGACTTCATTTAGTAGTAGTGTAGCAAAGGGTTGATTTATTGGTTGGTTGAATAGTCATAAAAGATTCTATGGAGTTACGATAGTTCTCCAGGAAATAAGAGAAGTAAATTGATAAGTCAATAAATTGCCTGTATTTGAGGAAAGACTTCACATCTTAACACTTAATCAAAGATTTATCTCTAAGTTCCTATTGTGTCATATTTGTCTTTCTTAATTTTAACCCTTCAGAGTATGACTGTTCTGGGTGGTACCAGCTCTAGAATGCCTTGTTAGAATGGGAACTTGAGGCAGTTGAGTTTAATGGAGAGTTGAGGCAGAACCAGTTAGTTGCTCCACTGCTTTCTATAATGGAAGTCCCTTGACCTACTGTGAACTGCTTAGCTCAGCCATCACTGTAGTCTTAGAGGAGGGCCAGCATTCCTGGCTAGGGCACTGTACTCATCTTCCTGAATTGTGAATCTGTTAGTTGTTGTTGTTTTTTTCCTTTAGGGCTTTAGGGACTGATACCTTTTAACCAACCCTGGGTGTGTTTAGTGAAGGGGTGGGGGGTGGTACAGTGTCAGAATGGATTATCTACTAGCCTTAATTGAGATCCCAGCATACTGCTTTTTTGGAAGGGCTGGGCTGTGGTGAGGCTATTAAGATTTCTTAAGGTTGATGAACTCCTTGGTGTGTTACCTAAATTTCCTTTCATGTACACTGTAGGATCGTTTAGAAGTAGCACTTGCGTGAACCACAGAGTAAGGTTCTCTTTGGAGTTGGTATCCAAGGAAACTATCAGCTATAATGCATTGAGAGTTTGGCACTTAGCCTGTATTGTGGCCCAGTGGATTGAGAGTTGTCCCATGGACTGAGAGGTCCCGGTTCAATTCCCAGTCAGGGTACATGCCCATGTTGCAGGCTCTATGCCCAGTAGGAGGCATGCAGAAGGCAGCCAATTGATGTTTCTCTCTCTCCCTTCCTTCCTCTCTAAAAAATCAATAAAAATATATTTTAAAAAAGAGAGAATGTGGCACTAAGATCCTATAGAGATATTGGAGCCTCCCTTTTTTCTTACTTTAAGTAGAATCTCATTCATTCATAAAGCATTTATGTGAACATCCAGGAAGTTCTCTGTAAGCATTTCTGGTTAAAGTTGAGTCAGCTCTGCCTCTTAGGCTCCTAAGGAGTGGGATCAGGTATAAACAGTCATCAGTAGGTATTTATTAACAGAATTTTGCACTGTTTAGAGCAGTGGTACATTGTTCCACAGGAGACTTGGAGAATAAAAGGAGTGACCCCTGCCTACCAGTAGCTTACAGTACAGTGGGAATGACAAAACATGCATAGAGTTCAGTCAAGACCAGTGTGAATTTGGTCAGTACAGAATAACAGTCAAATGTATAATTTGTGTATATGCCTGGAGATTACATAGAGAACCAGAGCTGGAGTGGATGGAAAGGGCTTTTCAGAGAATAGGTAGATTTGGAAAGACAGGAAGAACAATGGTTTGCAGAACAGTTGAACTGCTGAGGGCAGAATGAGGAAGGGTCCTATGGGTAACAGACAATGGGAGATAGATTCAGCTGGTTGCACTGTGTTCCTTGGAGGGACAGTGGATGAAATAATGGCTTTGAAAAAAATTGGGACCACACTTACTGGATATCTTAAAGCAGGGATAATTAATAATTCTAAACATTTGTTTTGGCTTCAGAATATAGATTTATTCATAAAAGTGGACATGCTTGAGGTTCTTTTTTATGTTAGAAAACGGCTTTATTGGAATTTTGTATTATGAAAAATTTCAAATGTACAGAAAAATGGAGAGAATAGTGTATAAGAAGCATTTGTATACTCATTGCTTAGGTTTAACTGTTGTTAATATACCATCCTTTGTTTTCTGAAATATTTTAAATGTTTTAAAGGAAATTATATATATCTCATGACATCATGCCACTTTAATATGCTTCTTTATGAAATAAGGACTTTTAAAAAATACCATTAATTTACCTAATGATTAACTATAATTTTCTAATATTATCTAATATCAGTTCACATTCAGATTTCTTTGCCTCTAAATGTCTCTTAGATCCCTGGCCGGTTTAGCTCAGCGGTTAGAGCGTCGGCCCGAGGACCGAAGGGTCAAGGGTTCGGTTCCCGGTCAATGGCATATACCTGGGTTGCACGTTTGATCCCTAGCCCCAGTTGGAATCTTGCAGGAAGCAACCGATTGATATGTGTCTTTCACATCAATCTTTCTCTTTCCCTCTCTCGCTCCCTTCCACTCTATCTAAAAATCAATGGAAAATATCCTTGGGTGAGGATTAACAATAAATAAATAAACAAATAAATAAATAGCTCTTAGAGTTTGTCTGTTCAAACCAGGAGCCAATCAAGACCATATATCACACTTGGTTGTTGTATAAGAAAAGCCTTCAATTTTGAGGTTCTGTATGATATACTTTACAAAGTGATGAGATCAAGTTTAGAGCAGAGTTTTGTTTTTTTTTCCTTTATTGATTTTAGAGAGAGAAGAAGGGAGAGGGAGAGAGAGAAACATCGATGATAGAGAACATCGAATGGCTGCCTCCTGCACATCCCATGTTGGGGATTTGGCCCACAATCTGGGCATGTGCCCTGACCAGGAATCGAACTGGCGACCTCTTGGTGCATGGGTTGCCACTCAACCACTGAGCCACGCCGGGAGAGCAGAGGTAGGGAAAGACACACATCAACTGGCTGCCACCCACACAACCCCAACTGGGACCGGGAACAAACTGCACCCAAGGTACGTGCCCTTAGTGGGAACCAAACCCAGGTCTCTCTGGACTGCGGGCCGACGCTCTAACCTCTGAGCCAAATTGACCAGGGCCAGAGATATTTTTTAACTGTTCCTATATGCCAGGTGTGCTGCCAGGTACTTTACAAGCCTCATCTCAATTTTTGATAAGAAAAGCTTCAAGGGGCTAAGTAACTTGCCCAGTATCACACACATAGTAAGAGGTAGAATTGGGATTCAAATCCAGGTGCCATGTTACTAAAATATGTTGAGCGAAAGCATTTAACTGAGTATCAGTTATCAAGGCGTGAAGGCAGTAGAGTTGAAATAAACAGTCAGTATATGGCTCTGATATGTAAACTGAGGATTGCCTTTGCATCTTCTTTTTGAAAAGTTCCTGTTTGTTGAGTCTTTAAAGTATTGACTTCTTTTCCTGTTTGATAAAAATAAAAACGATTTTTATAACTCTCAGAGTACATAAACCTTGTGCTGTTTATAATAAATAGCACCTTTTTACTTACGAATGAGTAGAAAGGATAATGAAACCCCTGGGCTCTAGAGTTGGGACAAGTGTTTTCACTTCACCCCAGGTGCCATCTTTATTGGGTGGATAGGAGAGTACCTGATGCCCTCGTGTTAGGGATCACTGAGTTGGCAAAAGATTTGAGTTACTTTAAAGAAATTCCCTGCCTGCCATTAAGCTGGGAAAGAACACAATGCCCTTGGAAGCCCATGACCACAGTTTTAGTAGGCCAATACAGTTTCCTGCTGCCTCCATAGTTACAGTTTAACTTGCTAAGGTTGGTAGGATGAAATGGAAAGATTGCTTCATGCACCTGCTCTATGAGGGCTGGGTGGATGTGTCAACATAATGGCACATCTGTCAGTGCCAGGAACTGGACACCTATGGAGCCCTTCCCCAGCTGCCCTTGAATAACCATTAGCTTTCTGGACTCAGTGCTTTGTGCCTGGGGGCAACTCTGGGTGGGAACGCCAGCCCTAGCTCCATCCTTCAGCCCATAGGGCCTGGCCCCTCCCTGTGTGAAAGCTGTCAGAGGGAGTCTGAAAAGTAAGTATATGTGGACCAGCTCCAAAGATTCATAAATCTGACTCCTCACTTTTGTTAGAAATTGGCTGGCC